TAGGCCACTCCAGGACCTTGAAATGCTTCTTACGAAGCCACTCCTTCGTTGCCCGGGCGGTGTGTTTGGGATCATTGTCATGCTGAAAGACCCAGCCACGTTTCATCTTCAATGCCCTTGCTGATGGAAGGAGGTTTTCACTCAAAATCTCACGATACATGGCCTCATTCATTCTTTCCTTTACAAGGATCAGTCGTCCTGGTCCCTTTGCAGAAAAACAGCCCCAAAGCATGATGTTTCCACCCCCATGCTTCACAGTAGGTATGGTGTTATTTGGATGCAACTCAGCATTGAGTTTTTACCAAAAAGTTCTATTTTGGTTTCATCTGACCATATGACATTCTCCCAATCCTCTTCTGGATCATCCAAATGCACTCTAGCAATCTTCAGACGGGCCTGGACATGTACTGGCTTAAGCAGGGGGACACGTCTGGCACTGCAGGATTTGAGTCCCTGGCGGCGTAGTGTGTTACTGATGGTAGGCTTTGTTACTTTGGTCCCAGCTCTCTGCAGGTCATTCACTAGGTCCCCCTGTGTGGTTCTGGGATTTTTGCTCACCGTTCTTGTGATCATTTTGAGCGTGGAGCCCCAGATCGAGGGAGATTATCAGTGGTCTTGTATGTCTTCCATTTCCTAATAATTGCTCCCACAGTTGATTTCTTCAAACCAAGCTGCTTACCTATTGCAGATTCAGTCTTCCCAGCCTGGTGCAGGTCTACAATTTTGTTTCTGGTGTCCTTTGACAGCTCTTTGGTCTTGGCCATAGTGGAGTTTGGAGTGTGACTGTTTGAGGTTGTGGACAGGTGTCTTTTATACTGATAACAAGTTCAAACAGGTGCCATTAATACAGGTAACGAGTGGAGGACAGAGGAGCCTCTTAAAGAAGAAGTTACAGGTCTGTGAGAGCCAGAAATCTTGCTTGTTTGTAGGTGACCAAATACTTATTTTCCACCATAATTTGCAAATAAATTCATTAAAAATCCTACAATGTGATTTTCTGGATTTTTTTTTCTCAATTTGTCTGTCATAGTTGACGTGTACCTATGATGAAAATTACAGGCCTCTCTCATCTTTTTAAGTGGGAGAACTTTCACAATTGGTGGCTGACTAAATACTTTTTCACTGTACATGTGCAAATAACTAGCTTACTAACATTTACAAATGTGGGAGATAAATAAATTGTGCGCAAACTGTTTGTAAATGCCTTATAAATGGTTTATTATGGACCCTTAAAATAAAGTGTTACCCTAGGATGTTGCTGGGCCCAGCACAGGCACTGTGGTCCCCTGGTCTACTGGTCCCAGCGCCGTGTGAAAGGCTTAGCAGAGACAGCTCAGAGGTGAGTGCAGTGGAGGAAGAAAACACAGAGACATAGATGTACTGCCAGGTCCTTCATTCACAGAACAAAAATATAAACGCATCATGTAAAGTGTTGGTCCCATGTTTCATGAGCTGAAATAAAAGATCCCAGAAATGTTCCACACGCACAAAAACATTTTTTAAATCTAACATTTTGTGCACAAATTTGTTTACATCCCATGTTAGTGAGCATTTCTTATTTGCCAAGATAACCCATCCACCTGACAGGTGTGGCATATCAAGAAGCTGATTAAACAGCATGATCATTACACAGGTGCACCTTGTGCTGGGGACAATAAAAGGCCACTCTAAAATGTGCAGTTTTGTCACACAACACAATGGCACAGATGTATAAAGTTTTGAGGGAGCGTGCAATTGGCATGCTGACAGCAGGAATGTCCACCAGAGCTGTTGCCAGATAATTTAATGTTCATTTCTCTACCACACTTCGTTTTAGAGAATTTGGCAGTATGTCCAACCGGCCCCACAACCGCAGACCACCTGTATGGTGTCAGGGGGGCGAGTTCCATTCCACAGGCCACAATCAACAGCCTGATCAACTCTATGTGAAGGAGATGTGTCGCGCTGCAGTATGCAAATGGTGGTCACCAGTGCTTAAATGTTTTATCGGGAAGTGCCGGAATAAAAAGTGAGCTCGAGTGGGGGGTGACCTGGGGAGCTCTCTGAGGTACCAGAACGCATGAGAAAAAAAGATCACCTTTATAATAAAGCATTGAATGCATATCATCATACTTGCTAAGTGGCATAGAGCAGTAGTGTAGAGGCACTTGCAGAAGGTGCACACATGGGAAAACATTTTTTGTGGCCTAGGGTCTGGGAAATGTATGTCCTTTTATAAACGCAAATTATGCAATTCTACGTCATTTTACATGACTGCAGACTTTGGCATAATCTTTTTTAATGCTGCGTTCAAAACAACGGGGAACTGGGAAATCTTCGACTTCAGACTTCGGTGCGTTCAAGACAACTGGGAATTCGGGAAAAAACTAACTCTAACTGGAAAAATGTGTTTTGAACGGTCATCCAACTTGGAATTTCAAGTGGGGAACTCTGGCCTCTTTCTAGAGCTCCGACTTTCCGACCTGAAGATCACTGATGTCATGATTCGACCTATTTTTTCCCAGAGTTCCCAGTTGTCTTGAAAGCACCATAAAACCGCACAAATGATCGAAATGACAGGCTACGTTGACACTGAGAATCTGAGAATCATCAATAGCCTAGGCCTAGAAGTGTGGAGAGACATATTGTATGCTACAATATGAGGAGGAAATTACAGTCCTTAAAATGCTTTCCAGTTTCACTGACTCACCCAATGATGTGCAGCTTACTAGCTGGTTTTGGCCTATGGGCTCGTGCCAAAAGCCTCTCTCGCTCTAGTTTTACTTTGTAAAACAATATTTGGAAGTTGATCAAATATTTTGGTAGCCTACAGTTGACAGATTATACTCTTCTCTTTTCAGCAGGAGCCATTTGCTTTCCAACCTGTGTTTTCCCGCAATTGTAGGCTATTTGAAATATTGCGAAAGACAAGTTGTGTCTGTATGCTGTTTGTTGACTGAGAGATTTGCTGCGCGTTGCTGACTGTCCGCTATGCCTATTTATTGGGGCTACAGTCCACAGCTGGGCTATTTATCCTCTGTGGCAGGAGAATTAACGAAGAGGCAACTTTCATTAACTTTGATTGCGTTTATTCGAATTTTTACATTGCAAAAAGTGACAATTATTTTTCATGCCAGGAAAGGTACCGGATCCGGCCAAATAGGTTCCAGAACGAAACAGTCCAAAACGGAGAGGTGCCGGATCCTGTTCTGGCAGGATCTGACTCAAATTAAGCACTGGTGGTCACACAAGATACTGACTGGTTTTCTGATCTTTGCCCCTACCTGTTTTTAAAGGTAACTGTGACCAATATATGCATATCTGTATTCCCAGTCATGTGAAATCCATAGATTAGAGACTAATGATTTTATTTAAATTGACTGATTTCCTTATATGAACTGTAACTCAATAAAATCTTTGAAATTGTTGCATGTTGTGTTTAATTTTTTGTTCAGTATATGTTGGCTCTATATTTAATAGCAATTAACACTTAGGAGTGGCAGACAGAGACAGAGTGACTGACAGAGACAGAGTGACAGACAGAGTCAGAGTGACAGACAGAGACAGAGTGACAGACAGAGACAGAGTGACAGACAGAGTGACAGACAGAGTGACAGACAGAGTCAGAGTGACAGACAGAGTGACAGACAGAGTCAGAGCGACAGACAGAGACAGAGTGACAGACAGAGTGACAGACAGAGTGACAGACAGAGTGACAGACAGAGTCAAAGTGACAGACAGAGTGACAGACACAGACAGAGTGACAGACAGAGTGACAGACAGAGTGACAGACAGAGTCAGAGTGACAGACAGAGTGACAGACAGAGACAGAGTGACAGACAGAGACAGAGTGACAGACAGAGTGACAGACAGAGACAGAGTGACAGACAGAGTGACAGACAGAGTGACAGACAGAGTGACAGACAGAGACAGAGTGACAGACAGAGTGACAGACAGAGACAGAGTGACAGACAGAGTGACAGACAGAGTGACAGACAGAGACAGAGTGACAGACAGAGTCAGAGTGACTGACAGACAGAGTGACAGACAGACAGAGTGACAGACAGAGACAGTGACAGACAGATACGAGACAGAGTGACAGACAGTGACAGACAGACTGACAGAGAGAGTGACAGACAGAGACAGAGTGACAGACAGAGACAGAGTGACAGACAGAGTGACAGACAGAGACAGAGTGACAGACAGAGACAGAGAGACAGACAGAGTGACAGACAGAGACAGAAAGACAGACGGAGTGACAGACAGTGACAGACAGATTGTCAGACAGAGTGACAGACAGACAGACAGACAGCCAGAGTGACAGACAGAGACAGTGACAGACAGAGTGACAGACAGTGACAGACACAGTGACAGACAGTGACAGACAGTGACAGACAGAGTGACAGACAGAGTGACAGACAGACAGACAGACAGACAGACAGACAGACAGACAGACAGACAGACAGACAGACAGACAGACAGACAGGAAGTGACAGACAGAGTGACAGACAGACACAGTGACAGCAGAGAAGATGCATAGACAGATTGCACAACAGGAAGGCAACAGAGGCCCAGTTATAGTGGTGAGTTGTATCTCCAGTGGTGCTTTTACAAGCTGAATGTTTGTCCCCAGTCTGGCCCTGGGCACTGCTGGGATACATAACCATGTGGGAACATTCCGTTGTCACTTTTTTTTCGCACCACTTGGCATTGTGAATTTGACATTACAATGCAATGTATGGTGACTATTTATAATTATGGGAGAGAGAAAATATATATATTTATTTTTAACACAGACCCATAATGTGTATCTGTCCCCAGGGAGTGAGCAATGCATGATAAATGAACCCCCGATTCCCTTGAAGTCCGAGAAAAATATATAGATGAAGTATTTGAAATATCTACCACATGCACAGCATCAATAGAAATGAGTGACTCGGCACCGTGGTATGTCCGGGAAAGCTATGGGTTAATTTAAGACTGAAAGGAAACCTGTTGCCAATTAAGTGCACGGAATGCCACATGTAGCCTCGACACATCTTCCAGATCGTGTAGAGGGATCCGAACGTACCATATCCACTCAGGAGAGAAAGGCTGGCAGTTCATTCAGTTTCAGTCACTCCAAAAGGCTACATTAATTGAGAGAGGGTGTGGATGATCTGAAAGCACTCTTTCCTTCGGGGGAAACGCTAACGAGACATGCCAAACTAAAGGATTTAAACGCGCAGTTAACCAGGCAGCTTGGATTCCGGGATGCGTAAAAGCACCTGATGGGATGCTAAAAGGGGCACAATTCTACGTTGGTTAAATAACTCTCCTTTTACATCGTGGATAATATGAAAATGACTATTATAACTCCATTGTTTCTGCTCTGCTTGACATTGTTGGTCAGCACAACCGAGAGTGTGGCGGAGATATGCAGGGGGACGCATTGTTTCAACTCTGAGGACTGGACCAGACCTTGTACAGGGGCGCATTGCCAGCGGCGAACGGACGCAGCACCCCAACACTTAAACCCCCTAACGCAAGACAGGCAAGCGTTTGTTAAGCCCCTTTACCAGGATGCCCATACTAACCCTCAGACCAGACGTGCACAGGTACCATACACTATCATTCAACCACATCGTGGTGGCACGGCCACAAGCGACACGCAGAAAGCAAACCCAAGGACCATTACCGCTGAGGTGTACAACCCCGGGTGCAAAGGAGGGAATTGTCAAGCTTCCCAGCCGCGACCAACGAGAACTGAGAGTGTCCCCCGGGAATGCAAAGGGATTGAATGTAAACTACCACTCAGGATGCGACCCAAGCCGAATCCCCAACCGTGCATTGGCGACAGCTGTGTCACTGGTGGTGGCGAAGACCCGAGAGGGCAGCAGCCCCCCTTGGTTCATGACAGAGCGGCGCAGTTTCTTGGAGAATTTCCGGAGTTTGGATCAGAACGTGGTTCATCGCCTCTGGGAATACAGTTGACATGCGACATCAAACCAGGTTTAGCGTGTGACCCTCTGGCGTACAGATTTTTCTACAATTAATTTTAAAATGATCATGCTCCCAAAGTAATTCATAGTTTAGCTAGCAGTTAATGTTACCAGAAAAAATATATAATGTAAGTCTACACCAATGAGAGTTCAAATGTACTCTGATTTAGTTTATTTTTAAGACTTTACACTAGTGTAGAGTGAATGCAACAATAACCAGTTGGCCAGTGTTAATTCTCAACTATTTACAGTTACAGAAACTCTGTGAAAAGGTTAAAAAGATAGCTGTAGTGTGGGATAATATTTACTTTTTGAAGTGTTAAATGTAACACATTTAGAGTTAATTTAACACTTGCAATATAAATGAGGTCAAATACAGATATTAGAGAATAAAGGTATTGAAACCATATATACTTTCCTAGAATATATGAGTCTAGCAGGATTTATAACCAATATATCACTGCAACCTCAGAACAATTGAGTTTGATCATTCAGACTGAAAGGTATTTTTGTATGCAAACAGCAGCCCCCTATGTAAATGATCAATGTGATGAGTGTTTATATGTGTGCATGAAAAGTATTTGTGTGTGTGTGTGTGTGTGTGTGGCTGCGGGTGAACACATGAATCCCTAGCTACCCTGTCCTCCCTCCAACACAGGCAACAACGAGGTGCCCTCGGAGGACACCCTGGTGCTGCAGCTGCGTCTGGCCAAGGGCCAGGAGAAGCTGGTGGAGGCGCTGAAGGGCCAGCAGGACGACATAAGGGAGCTGCAGAGCAGACTCAGCCAACAGCAGGGGACGCTGGTCAGCCAGCAGAGAGAGATCCTGGAGCAGCAGGGCAGACTGAGCCAACAGATGGACCAGGTCTGGAACCACATCTGAAACATTGTGGTTTCCCTTTGCTGGAGGGAAGAATTCATAGACATGATGCAGAGCTTGGCTGTTGCTATGGCACATAACACCTGCTGTGTTATTAATAGACCACTGGAAGGTTTAATTTATTTATTTTCAGCAACATTTTGGTAATAAACCTTTAATTAAATTTTCCTAAAACCATCCAATAAAACAACAAAAAACGGTTATTGCAGTGCTCTGATGAAGGATCTTGCTCCAAAACACATCAACATTATTGAAAGTTGCCATCCTGAACCTTCTTTCAGCAAACCAGTAAATGCATTGCTTGCTGTTTGGTGTTTTAGGCTGGGTTTCTGTATAGCACTTTGTGACATCTGCTGATGTAAAAAAAAGGCTTTATAAATACAATTTGATTGATTGATTTCTGTGTTTGGTCTCATCTCAGGTCAAGGCCCAGTATGGCCTAGTCCTAGAGAACGTCAAGCAGATGTCATTCCAGCAGGAGGCGCTAGAGAGCCACGTGGTGGCCCCCAGGGGCCAGGCCAGGGCCCACCACAGGCAGGCCTACGCTGTGCACAAGGTGGACATGGAGGCCAGTGTGATGGACGTAGAGCTCCCCATGTTGGCCTGCGGCTCCTGTGGAGCGGAGGAGTACTGCGACTTCAGAACAGGTCGGCCGCAATGTGAGAGGTGCACCATCTGTCCAGCGGGCTTCTTCCTGGTGTCCCAGTGCTCCTTCCATGCTGACAGGATATGCCAGGTGAGGAGAAGTGTTAGTAATGTTGAAAAGACAACACACAAATCAAATGAAAATGTATATGAAGTGCATTGGCGGTAGAACAAGGACCGAACCCTGCGGAACTCCAGCTGTAAGCTTAAAGTATTCTGAATATTCTAAATGTAGATGCACGAACACACCCATTCAGGAGTTTTATTATGTTCCTGAGTGGCGCAGTGGTCTAAGGCGCTGCCTCGCAGTGCTAACTGTGCCACTAGAGATCCTGGTTTGAATCCAGGCTCTGTCGCAGCTGGCCGCGACTGGGAGACCCATGGGCGGCGCACAATTGGCCCAGCGTCGTCCAGGGTAGGGGAGGGAATGGCCGGCAGGGATGTAGCTCAGTTGATAGAGCATGGCGTTTGCAACGCCAGGGTTGTGGGTTCGATTCCCACGGGGGGCCAGTATAAAAAAATAAAAAAATAAAAATAATAATAAATGTATTCACTAACTGTAAGTCGCTCTGGATAAGAGCGTCTGCTAAATGACTAAAATGTAAATTATTAATCATGTTTTATATATTACAGGACAGAGATGAATGCCTTGAAGTAGCAAACCTGTGTGCAGAACAGAATAAATGTCTAAACACTCCAGGTAAGAAGGGTTTAACCTGTTTGGTGAAAAACTCTTACTGTATCAGCAATCCTTTGTCCATAATCCTATGCTACATATGACAATTCCTCCTCCACTCACTCTATAGTGAAGGTGAAAGAGTTAGAAATGTTCTACTTCTGTATTTGTGTGTGAGAGTTAACTTCTGTCCTCCACTGTTTCTATGTGAACCAGGTGGGTTCAGGTGCCAGGGCTTGTCTGAGAGAGAGGCCAGCGCAGGCTTGTGTGGACACGCCTACTTCTACAACTCAGAGATGGAGGAGTGTCAGGCCTGTCAGGAGTGTGAGGCGGAGCCAGTGGCCACACCCTGCACCTTCATGAGTGATACTGTCTGCTCCACCCCTTCCACCACCGACAGCAGCAGGCTGTCCATGGCCTGGGCGGGGGATGTGACCCTGCCTCCTGCCAAGAGCCAAGCCCCTGGTCACGCCTTCCCCAACCTGCAGCTCCACATCCAGGGGCGGGGTGACAGCAATCTGCTGTCCACCGAAGACGGCCATCTGGTGCTGAGACAGCACGGCCTTGTGTGGGCAGACGAGAACTTGGCCCTGAGCCACGGATGCCGCAGTTTCGTCCAGGTGTGTCTGCAGTTTAACGCCAGTGACCTGGCCGAGGGGCGGGACCTTGGTGGGGTCAGGGTGGAGCAGCGGGAGGGAAAGGCACTCCAGGGTGCCAGTGTTAGTGGGGTGGCAGAAGTTGCTCCAGGAAGTATGCTCTCCCTGCTCCTCAGGAGCGCCAGCCACCATTGCAACCACACAAGCGATGGCCTGCGCCTACATGACCCCTCTGTGGCCCCTCTCAGCCTCTTCTGGCTGTCCCATGACACCGGGGCCGTTGCCATGGCGGCGCAGGCAGTGTCATCGGCGCACTACCACACCAACTACCGGCCCGCCTTCAAGACCACGTCCACCTCTGACCCGTACGTTGTGGGGCTGACTCACGATGGGCGTGGAGTGCGCTTCACCGAAAGTGGCACGGTGCGCTTTGTGTTCCAGCAGGCACTCTACTCCATGGGCCAGGCGTGCGTGACCGAAGGCTTTCACCTGCTGGCCTACATCAACCGCAATGGGAGCAGCATGGAGCTGACTCGAACCTATAAGACGGGTGTCCACTACCGCGACACGTCCATCTCCCTGTCTGCTGCCACCAGGGTCGGCCCAGGCGATACTCTGGGCTTTGAGATCCTCTCCCCGGGGCAGTGCAACATCCGCTACTTCGGCGACGACTCCGGCATCAGCGCCCTCAGCTTGGTGTGGGTCCCCGCCGCCATCTCCGCCGCCCTCTCCGCCTCAGTGGCACGCACAGGCTTGCCCTCCGGAGCGGTGCGCAACAAGCCCCTGTATTTCCGCCAGGTCAGCCCCCACATGCCGCAGGTGCAGGTTGGGCTTCCAGGGAAGGGTCGCGCTGAACAAGGACGCGAGTTTGTCTTCATGGAGAGCGGGACAGCCAGCTTGGCACTGGACCTGAAGCTGATCCACTCCTGCAACCCGGTTAAAGTCACCCTGCTCCGGCATAGAGGCGAGGAGGCAGGGGAGGAGGGCAAGCCAGTGCCCCTGGCCCAGCAAGTCGGGGGCCAGATGCCAGAGGGCAGTGAGTGGGCAAGTGTGGGGCTGCGGGCCTCCTTCCAGGTCCACAATGGCACGGCGGTTTTTGTCACATTGGACTGCGTGCGCGGACGGATCAATCAGATCAGTCATCAGGCGGGGAGCGGTGTCTCCGTACTGTGGGTGGCAGCATATCACTAGTCTAGAAACACCAAACTAACAATACCTAGCTAACCTAAAGCAGGGTTTACCAAATCTTTTACTTCTTCAATTAGCCTTTGATCAACAATATTGTTAAATTTTAGCATGGTTTCCGTTATGTATAAAAAGTACCCTTACTTATACTTACTTAAAATAGACCAAATGATGATTTTGGTGGCAGAGAGCATATTTAAGATTTATGGTATTTTATGCATATTTTATACTGTATTTTGATATGATAATGATGCTAGAATTAGCATTGTTATTCAACAATTATTGGTATGAACCTCCTTTCATGTTGACATTTGTTGGGCGCATATTTTTTCTGTCTTGTATTTACAGTATATAATTGAGTTAGTGTATTGACGCCAGAGTTTTATAGAAGATACTTAAAATTATTTTGCTTTCATCAAGGATGATTTTGCAGGGCTGGTTTTACTCTGAAATGTGTTAAGAGCATATGTTTCGGGTTAGCCGCCATTTTCTAATGTGAGTGTCTTCTGCATGCCTTATTTAATGACCATTTTCAGGAGACCCAGAAAGGGTTTGTACACTCTTGTGTGGAGGTCCACTTGTGTAAGACACTCACAAAGAAGTGTGTATTAGCACTTGTTTAGAATGACAGTGACTTACTATAACCACCATTTAGAGTTCTAAGACAGGCAATTATGCCACCAGCCAAAGTGCCAGTCTTAAATGCCAATAATACATGCTTTGTAAATATTAAACATAAAACACTGATTATGACACCAAACCTCATGCTTATTAATAAGTCAAGGTCACTAAACACTCACTGCTTTAACGCACAAGACTGTAGGCTATATATTTTAATAGTGGTTGAAAGTTTGTTATATATTTAAGCAATAGGGGGTGTGGTAAATGGCCAATATACCACGGCTAAGTGCTGTTCTTATGCACGATGCAATGCAGAGTGTCTGGATATAGCCATTTGCCGTGGTATATTGGCCATATATCACAAACCCCTGAGGTGCCTTATTGCTATTATAAACTGGTTACCAACGTAATTAGAGCAGTAAAAGTAAATGTTTTGTCATACCCGTGGTATACGGTCTGATATACCATGGCTGTCAGCCAATCAGCATTCAGGGCTCGAACCACCCAGTTTATAATTAAGTAATAAGTCCCGAGGGGGTGTGGCATATGGCCGATATACCACGGCTAAGTGCTCTTCTTACGCACGACGCAATGCGGAGTGCCTGGATACGTTTACATTTACATTTAAGTCATTTAGCAGATGCTCTTATCCAGAGCGACTTACAACAGCCCTTAGCCATGGTATTTTGGCCATATACCACAAACCTCCAAGGTGCCTTATTGCTATTATAAACTGGTTACCAATGTAAATAAACAAGTATTTTTTGCATCATACCCGTGGTATACATTGTCTTATATATATTATACACACGCGACTGAAATGCTGTTTCAGCCAATCAGCATCCAGGACCCAAACCACCCAGTTTATAATATGTACAGCATAATGTGCATATGTTACTACAAGCTATATGTCCCTAACCCTAATTATAAAGTAATCATAAAGACAGACAATCTGTCATATACCTTTGTAATCACATGTAAAGACCTGCGTGGTTATGAGAGACGTGTCTTTCCTCATGTCTTGAATTAAACCCAGGTGTTGCCGGCAAAAAAAGACCCAGATGTTTTGCATTGAAGATCAAAAGACACAGTGGGTCTTTTACATTGAATTTAAACAGTTGAAATGGTATTTGAAAAGTGGTTAATAGTCTTCCAGTTATAACCTCTCCTTTCTCAGAATGTTTCCACTGCATTGGCTAAAGAGCAATATGCACAATACCCACCATATGAAATTCACCCTATTCAGCGGATGTTATAGTTTTATGTATAGTTTCATATTGCTGCAGACTAGGAATGATTCAATAAATCATGGTCCTAGTGAAGCCAATGAGCTCGTCTGTGCATGTCATGAGATGTGATCTGTTGCTATATCAGGACCAAAAACCTGCAGACACACCCACATGAAAAAATACTACAGTTTCACTATAGAATACTACAGTGCTTACTATAGAATTATGTAGTAAACTGTAGAATATTACACTACACATTGTAGTATACCTCGACCATGTGTAGTACTTACTATAGAATGTTGTAGTATACTGCAGAATACTATAGTAAATACTACAGTATACTACAGACCACAAATAAACTACAGTAAATACCACGGTCATGTTTGCAAAAACACTACAATAATTACTATAGTATACACTACAGCAGGGGTCTCCAACCCTGTTCCTGGAGAGCTACCCTCCTGTAGGTTTTCACTCCAACCTCAGTTGTAACTAACCTGATTCATCTCATCAACCTGCTAATAATTAGAATCAGGTGTGCTAGATTAGGGTTGGAGTGAAAACCTACAGGACGGCAGCTCTCCAGGAACGGGGTTGGAGAGCCCTGCACTACAGTATTTAATTTGCATATATCCTGCCCATTCCCCTCCCTTAACCCAAATTGTGCCACCCAGAAGTGAGAAACCTACATGCCAAGTATCGACAATATATTGTGTTCCCTACAGGTTATAGAAAAGAGCAGCTCTGAACTCTCCATTCAGACCTCAATCCTACCTACCTACCTACAGGTTATGAAACATTTCCTCAAATACAATTTCCTCAAAGACAAAGTCACCATTGCTATGTCAAAGATAATAAAACTAAAATACTATAGTAAATACTACAGTCATGTCTGCAAAAACACTACAGTAAATACTTCAGTATACTACCATCCGCAAAAACACTACAGTAATTACTATAGTATATACTAGTTTCTTTCTTACTACAGTATTTATACTATCATAAACTGTAAATACTACAGTATACTACCATCCGCAAAAACACTAAAGTAATTACTATAGTATATACTAGTTTCTTTCTTACTACAGTATTTATACTATCATAAACTGTAAATACTACAGTATACTACCATCCGCAAAAACACTACAGTAATTACTATAGTATATACTAGTTTCTTTCTTACTAGAGTATTTATACTATCATAAACTGTAAATACTACAGTATACTACATGCATGTCCGCAAAACTACACTAAGCACTACAGTATTCACTGTAGTGTTTTTGCGGACTTTAGTGAATACTACAATAAAGTGAATACTATAGTATTTAACTATAGAATACTATAGTATTTTTTCATGTGGGCAGCAGCTTTTCAGGAACAGAGGTGCCTACTTCTACTTTAAAAAGGCTTATAATGGCACAGGTAATAGTAAACGGCATGAAACGGGGAGGTACTATTTTAACTTAGTTTGTTTTCCGTTGCAAAACCTTTCACTACAGTGTGCCCTACTGAACACAACTCAGTTAGTTACTTTACATTGATACGTTTTTGCTCATCATATTGAGATCAACAGACAAATGCTGATTTAATGGTAAGTAACTATCATAAAGATACAAAAGAATCCCCATACCATTTATTTAGATATTAGCATTACACCTTTAAAATCCAGAGTAGTTGAAAAAAAGCAACGCCTCGCCTTACTTCCTCTTGTGTATAGTTGTATTCCAATATGGCATTTTTGGGGGGGAACAATCGTATTGGATAGGGATTATGTTTGCCACAGACTAATTACCACAAGGTCAAGGGGACATAATTCAAAGAGCATGTCATCATGGTAGAAATCAAAACTACTCCACTTTGACTTGTGAGTTATAGCTGTGATAAAAAAGAAAAGGTCAAAGTCCCCCCTTAACCTAGTGCTGGCCCCCTGTGCGGGGAACCAGCCAGCCTCTCACGTTAGCGCTTTAGCTAAACGCCAATGTAACACAGATGGAGAGCAGCAAATCCTCTGTGATCTGGCGACACTGTAAACATTTAACCTGTGAAAAGCGGTATTAAAAATAGACTATAATGTTTAAAAATGGACTGTTTCATTTTAGTCATAGGCCTTTGTCGGTCATGTATGCCCCAGAGTTACTTGCAGGGGAACTTTTAGGATGAATGGTAGCATGTACACTGAAAAGGTTTGATGTGGAAGAGTTTCGTCAATGCCTTACATTACACAAATAAAAGGCTGAAGTTCAAAGTCATTGAAAAGGATCCACGGGTTAAAGTAAATGTCCAGTGTTTCCAGATTTCTATTAAATATGACCTATAATTAATCACAATGTGTAAAATTGTTTTCATTCCCAAAAAAATGTATTTAAGTATGTTAAAAAGCAGCTTTTCTGTGTTGGAATGGTGTGGGTGTACCCCAACAACAGAATGGTGTGGGCGTATACCGGTCATAAAAAATATTCATGCGAGTAGACCGCTGATTGGCCAGCTCATCCTCTATGAGGAAATAATACGCATTTTTTAAACAGTCTGTTTGAGATCCAAGTTTGAGGTGGTTTGAGATCCAAGTTTGAAGTGGTTGTTTTTTTCTCCAATTGATGCTTTGGCCACAAATACAAGTATAGGATGCGTCAACAACATTATTTCGGTATGCGTTAACAGAATATTTACTTTCAAAAGTGAGATTTTCCCTGCACAGTAGAGTCAGCGATGCACAAAGTAAACAGCAATATTGGGTCGATTTCCCCAACAACTAAGAGCATTGAAACGCAAGGCTAAACCTCTCCACTGTTTCCGGTCCACAGCTATTACGTTGTAGCTATTGAAGCGCACCTGTGCACATGTGATGATACTCGGTGATAGTGAGTTAATTAGTCAACTAAGTGCATCGTCTTGCATTGTGCTCATCTGTGACATCCGCGGTGCTACTCGTGGCAATGTCATATTGCTGAGTCTCAGTTTAAAATGATAGTTCGCTTTTTTGAAGTTTAGACAAATATGGTGAATAAACAAAGATAGTTCACTCAGGCCATTTACCCTTGAAAAAAAAAAGGTCAGTTCCGGTCTGCTTTGGTTCTCCCATTGACACCAATGCAATAGCAGCTGGGTCCGGTCTGCTAAGTTCATTGACTGTAACGTAGGCATAAAAAAATTAAGACGTGGGGTGTCTCGCTTCCTCTTCTGTCTCTGGTTTACCCTTAAATTACACTTACCTAAGGTGGTGTTGAATCACCCAGAATGTTTTTTTAAGTGCATTAACTCGTTATTTAGCTAGGTCTAGCATCTCCCAGTTGAGCATGAGTGCTGCTAGCAATGCTAGTGGAAATGGCTAGCATGGCTAACTGTACTCTCAAAACCACAAAAAAAAATGTCCTTCAGACCATCTCCAAAACAATATACACAGCCACACCATGTTTTCAGATATATATGTGGGACTATCACGCAAGGATTTTCTTGCAGGCGGGCAGAGTCAAAAAGGCAATCAGGAAATGCTTCACAATTCAAATACAGTCAACTTTTACACATATAATAGCAAGTGGTCCTCTGTAGCTCAGCTGGTAGAGCACCGCGCTTGTAACGCCAAGGTAGTGGGTTAGATCCCCGGGACCACCAATACGTAAAAATGTATGCACGCATGACTGTAAGTCGCTTTGGATAAAAGCGTCTGCTAAATGGCATATTATTATTATAAGTACAGTATATTACAGATATACAATATCAGTTCCTTTGAGGGACATGCTTTTGAGACCACATAACTTCCACTACCATTGGTAGCCCAGGAGATGCTGGACCTGGCTAAAATAACCAGATAACGGACCTAAAAACTGCCTGCATGGATGGATGATACCACCCACATTAAAAAGGAAACCATCCCTTTAACAATCAGTGGAACTATCCCTTTAACAGTAGGTGGATTGTCCATTGACATCAATGCATGCTTCAATGCAAACACTGATGTTATGCTCATATCTGCAATTAGGATTCGGTCCTTGGGGAGCTATACAACAGAATCACACAGGTGGCCTTCACAGCAGATGGGCGAATGCTCGGTAGAGGCGGGAGGGGGGGTGGGGGAAGTGTGGTATCCATGTTTCACAGACAGAAGACCAACTGCAACTAGGAGAAAGTCTGCTTTTGAGAACTCTTGTGGATTAACACAACCACCCATCAGATCACATTAACAGTGTCCCACTGACAAACAGTCCCAGAGGGAGAGAGCGAGGCAGACAGAGAGAGGCAGACAGAGAGAGAAAAGTAGAGACAGAAGGAGAGAAAGAAAGAGTGCTACTGTTACCTCCTGTGGAAGGATAGGCCTCTAGGTGATGCCGCGCCATCTGGAAGCATTTGGGACTTGTTTTGGAGGCAACTCAGGCAAGCTTTGTTCTCAGTTTCCCTGTTAACTCTGCATATTCCTTAAGATAAAAGGCTTAACCATGATTTGATTTTCCTGAATGGCCATATAAAACATGTCATTTTTTGTTGTCCTGTAGGCGTACGAATGAAGTGAAAAATCGATTAATAAGTGTACCTTCCAAAAAACTTCTGAAACCCTACCTCTTCACCACAGGAGGTTGGTGGCACCTTAATTTGGGAGGACGGGCTCGTGGTAATGGCTGGAGCGGAATCGGTGGAATGGTCTCAAATAAATGGTTTCCATGTGTTTGATGCCATTCCATTTACTCCGTTCCAGCCATTAGTATGAACCGTCCTCCCCTCAGCAGCCTCCACTGCTCTTCAAAGAGTATGTTAAGACGACACTGTCTTATCCCCCCCATTAACAAAATAACAAATAAAGCTTGCACTAGTTTTTTCCTACAAGCATTGACTTTGCTGATAACTTTGTTGAGGAAATATTTACTTACAACTGTGATGTGATTGTCTCACGTAGCTATCTTAAAGATGAATGCACTAACTAAGTCGTTCTGGAAAAGAGCGTCTGCTAAATTACTAAAATGTAAATAAGTGTTCTTAATGTTATGACATGGAGTGTATCCAACAATGTACTCAACATTAAACAGTATTCTATGTACTGTAGTAAACATTAGGTTTCCTTTCCTATGCAGTACAGCCATCTATGGCTTTCAGTATTTATTAGGATCACCAATTAGCTGCTTCCAAGGCAACGGTTACTCTTCCTGAGGTCCCAGGTCAGAGACCCAGTCAAAGAAAGCACAGATCTTTCAGATAAAGGTCCTACTATATTAGGGAAAACTGAGTGGGCTAAATTGAGCTGAACCTTGTCAATGTAACAAACAGTACCTTGCATTCCCCCCTAATAGCATAGTTGGCATGACATAGGGCCTGCAGTATGGTTTCAATATCGGGTAGAGATCTAGAGCGCCATCTAGAGGTTCAAATGGACACTGAGGGGATAGATACCAAGGCATAAACTGTTCTTTATATTAATACTCCTCATTCTCACTTTAGTTTTTGTTAACGCCACACAGGAAACAAAGAAAATGCCAGTTTTACAGTTTAAAGTAATTGAACATTAGTCAATTATGAGACAAAACCAGTAGTAGTGAACACATTTCAATCTCATGAATGAAATTTCCCTTTTATCTGAGGTTGACAAGAAAAGTGAAAACACAGCAACATGCATTGTTCGGTTTAATATAGCTATGTTTTATTTATATATTTTACTGTAACCACAAATCTTTGGCTATGTTCAGGATAACATTAATCCAAATGCCAGTCGTTGACATTGACCTGGTTGCCATCAATACCGTTCTCTGACACACCTGTATAGCCGACACAACAGAAGCCTACTCTCACTACAATATAAATCAACATAGTTAGAGGTATTTTCAATAACATACTATTTTAGGAGGATATGTGATATTATTAATTACCATACAGTAGATGCCTTTAATTCTACATCCCTATGATTGTACATGAAGCCTTTACGATTAATGTTCATATTTCCTTTAAAATGATTAAATCCTACAAATCAAGGCTTAATATATTCATTTTAGAGCACTATCACTCTCTAAAAGCATTAACATCAACTGCAATGAACATGTTTATATCTTATAGTTAGATTGGTTACTACTGCTGTTTTATTAGAAAAAAGAATTGTCAATCAAAATGTGTGTAAATATGTGAAAGAGATGGCAGTTTAGAGGCTATGATCTATAAACACCGGTCACCTTTTTCTACAGGTTAGAAAATCCCAAACGACGGATAGAAATTCTAAACCAGATATGTTCCCGAGATCTTCTCGATTTAAAAATGGAGTCATCTCGTGATCCTCTGTACGTAAAGTTTTACGATGAGATTATTCGGAACTTGAGTGGCGAGTGTTGCAACAGGACGAAAATATTGCATTTCTTAAAAGGCTAGTCAAGGCAGCTACGTGCTAGAAACTGATGCTACAGCCAACCTCAACGGTCAGCCACAACGAAGAGGAAAGGAACAAGAGCATGTCTGTTGGAATATGTTTTGGGTTTGGGGGGGGGTGCTGAGGAGTATTTTACCTCCACTAATACAGGAGTAGTAAAGGGCAAGTTCACTAATTTTGTTTAAAAAAAGAAAAGAAAAAAAGGGGGAATAAATAACATTATGTTGCATTTTATTTTTTCTGAGGGTCCTGCAGCACTCTCAGCACCCCTACTTCTCACGGCTTTGAATAAAGAGAGTGAAAAAGTAACAATAAGAAATAATAAATAGCTGGTGCCATTTACTGTATGTAAGAAGCAAGAAGAGGAAAGTCAAACTGTACGAGGAATGTGGAATGTGTGATAGTAAACATACAGTATATCAATAATCGTTTTTTTGTTTGTTTTAAGAACAGTATTTAAAGTTCAGTTCTATGACTTTTACTTCATTATCCAGTATACTGGCCAGGCTACCTGGCAGTCTTCTGTTCATAACAACTCGATGTAGAAGTTATGGTGACATCTTCTGTCTGCGTTAGTAACACACGATGATATGGTTGGTTTTCGGTCCATGCTGCAGTCAGAGCCGAAGACGAGGAGGAGGAAGAGGTGAGAGAAGAGGAGAGCGAGGGAGAAGTATAAGAAAACAGGGGTCTTAGTGCAGGACCTCCAGTAGGAGGCGTTTGAAGTCTCCTCCACACTCAGAGCTCAGAGCGTCTTTCAGAGGAACGTCATACTTCTCCAGGTACATCTCCTTAATGGTCTCCAGGTCAAACTGTTGGAAACAAACAAACACTCACATGATCTTCTGATTCTATAAATTATCTTCGTATGACTTTGATACGTTCTTATTAGGGGCAAGTAGTAGTAATCATGGGTTGCACCTCCGTCACTCGGTTTTGCGTCATGCCATTGTTATGAACATACAACCATATTGACCAGGTCACTCTTGAAAAATAGATTATCTCAATGAGTAAAACCTGTATAAATAAAAGGTTAAATAAAACAAATATTTGTACCCTGAAGGCCACTGGTACGCAGTCATTCTGAACGAATGACTGTTTCATCAAAATTACACTACAGTGGCCTGGAAATACAACGATATTGCTAAAGTAAGAAATAATGAAATGGGAAACGTCGCCATCATTATGATGTCCTCAAATTTACTTTAGAGAGATGGCAATGTTGCCATTAGCTAGCAAAGTTTGTACAAAAAAATATTTGCTAGCAATGCTAATGTTAGCTAGCTAAAATTCAGTGCAGTCCCCTCAATCTTAGCTAGCTAAAGTTATCCTGCATCTAAAGCCAATCTGACGACATCACCAATGCAGAAAATATTTATTTTGAAATGTCATCGTGTTTCCAAGCCACAGTAACGCACTTTAGACTAAATATTTTTTTCAGTTGGGCATCAGTCCTAAAACGTTCAAAATAACAGTGATTCCTTAGCATGTTTGTAAGGTCGTGTAATTTGCTCGCGCAACAATTATTGTGGCAACACCCTCCATCATAAGCCCTTACACAATACTGTTAGGCAATGCCATTTTTTCACTTATCTTCCTAACAGGACAAAAGCTTAGAAACACATTGGTGATACAAAACCCCTTAATGAGTAATATTCTGTGTCTCATGCCTTGATGTCATACCTCTGAGCGACCAACGATGATGCGGATGAGTGTGTCTTCGTCGGTGCCCGCCCCTTTCATTGCGGCGTTCAGGCGACGGGCGAAATAGAGCTGAGGGTTTTTGGCACACCTCACTGTTGAGAGAGAGAGACATGCATATGCACGCAGACACACACACACAGATGAATACTTCCCTGTACCCCTCACAAATCTCAAAGCACTGGGTGGAGGGTCACTTAAGTCTATAGCACCAGCGTCTGTTTTCATTTGATGAATGAAAGTTGGTTCTCTCATTTGAGTCTACCCACTATGTTATCGTCTCATGATGAAGACTCCTTCACAGACACTGGGTGAAATCTCATTTACAACTAATGGCAGTGAATGGTTTCACCCTCAGTTAGCCAAGTTAGTTAGCTATAATTAACAAAAATATAAACGCAACATGCAACAAATTTTACTGAGTTACAGTTCATAAGAAAATCAGTCAATTGAAATAAATTCATTAGGCCCTAATCTATGTATTTCACATGAAGGGGCGCAGCCATGGGTGGAGCCAGGCCCAGCCAATCAGAATGAGTCTTTCCCCCACGAAAGGACTTTATTACAGACATGAAACTGAGTAGTATTTATCAGCTATCTGGGTGGCTGGTCTCAGACGATCCCACAGGTGAAGAAGCCGGATGTGGAGGTCCTGGGCTGGTGTGGTTACACATTTATGTCATTTTAGCAGAGGCTCTTATCCAGAGCGACTTACAGGAACAATTAGGGTTAAGTACTTTGCTCAAGGGCACATCGGCAGATTTTTCACCTAATCGGCTCGGGGATTAGAACCAGCCCCCTTTCGATTACTGACCCAACGCTCTTAACCGCTATGCAACCTGCCGCCCCTACACGTGGTCTGCAGTTGTGAGGCCGGTTGAACGTACTGCCAAATTCTCTAAAACGATGTTGGAGGCGGCTTATGGTAGAGAAATGAACATTCAATTCTCTGGCAACAGCTCTGGTGTACATTCCTGCAGTCAGCATGCCAATTGCACCTGTGGCATTGTGTTGTGTGACAACTGCACATTTTAGAGTGGCCTTTTATTGTGCCCAGCACAAGGTGCACCTGTGTAATGATCATGCTGTTTAATCAGCTTCTTTATATGCCACACCTGTCAGGTGGATGGCAAAGGAGAAATGCTCACTAACAGGGATGTAAACAAATTTGTGCACAAAATTGGAGAGAAATCTTTGTGCGTATGGCAAATTTCTGGGATCTTTTATTTCAGCTCATGAAAACATATGACTAACCCTTCACATGTTGCGTTTATATTTTTTGTTCAGTGTATTTATTTACAGGTAGTTAGCAAAAGAGTGGTCGCCAGCTACCGTAACGCTGTTTGTGTCCAAAACATGGCTCTAAAAATGACATACCCAGGGTGATGTAGCACTCCTTTAAGGTCCCAGTAGCCTCGTTGTCAATGGCATCCAGGATCTCTGTCCCAGAGAGCTGGAGAGAACACAAACAAGACAGTGAACACAGAATCAAGATGGTGATCCATTTGTCCATACTGAGTACAAAACATGACTGACTACTTCTAGACAATTTCCCCAGTACTTAGAAGTGCTTCCATTTAATGACAGATAATGGTTCTCCTTTTTTTTTTTTTAAAGGACTGGGGCAGTCCCACTCCTCACGCATTTCTTGTTTTTTTGGATAGGAGAGATAGAGGAGAGAGTGTGCTGAAATAGCAGTGTATGTGGGCTGGAGGCAGCAGCTTACTCCACTGGACCAACCTAGTAATAAATGGTTATTTTGTCTTCCGCGGTTGACTAATATTGTCAATTCAGAGCGTTGACAGAGTTCATGACCCCCCAGTGGCACATAGCAAGTGGACTGTACATACCTGCTCATAGATCTTGAAGGTGGCCTGAAGCTGCAGGTAGTTCCTGTGTGTCAGAATGTAAGTGAAGGTGGACTCGTCCGTTCCGAAACGACCCTCTCCTGCCTGACATCCACAAACAAAGACCAGAATAAAACACACCAGCAGAAAGCACAGGGATCCAGTCAAAGTCATTGCTTACAAAAAGGAAGGAATTCTGGCTTGAGATCCGTACGCACAACTTGGAATTTTGCATAAATCACGCATTGATGTCAATGGCAGATTTACTCGAAAGACATGAGTTACTCACGTTGCTCTAACTCTACTTGGATCGTTGGGGCACAATAGGGATAAACATCCTATTGATTCCTAGAGTGTCATGAGGGGTTAATAGTAACAGACATGAAACAAGAGCCTGGTACAGTACGTAGTGAGAGCTCACCTCAAACATAGCGGTCGCGTCCTGCTCGGCCAGTCCCTCGTCCACCTCAAAGCCCTCATCCCTGTTAGCCTATCAGGGTAGAGAGAGAGAGGGGGGGAGTGGGGTAAAGAAGAGACGCAAAGAGAGAGAGAGAGCGTCTGGGAGGGATCATCAACCTATCAAGCCAAGGTATGATGTGAGTCAACAAGTGGCATTAAAAAAAGGGAGTTTTTCCCCACAACCAACAGTATTTTCCTGTTTCCCATTTACTTCTATTCACTTTCTTACCTAGCAGTCATTCTTATCCAAACCAACTTACAAATGAAAAACTGTATCATGGTCATTGTGATAGGATTGAGGGGATATGAGTCATGTACCTTTTAGTGCCGAGGAAGTGGGAAGGGGCAGTGGTGGAAAAAGTACCCAATTGTCATACTTGAGTAAAAGTAAAGATGCCTTAATAGAAAACTACTCAAGTAAAAGTGAAAGTCACCCAGTAAAATACTACTTGAGTAAAAGTCTAAAAGTATTTGGTTTTAAATATACTTAAGTATCAAAAGTAAACGTAATTGCAAAAATATATACTTAAGTATCAAAGTATAAATAATTTCAAATTCCTTATATAAAGGAAACCAGACGGCATCATTTTCTTGTTAAAATAAAAAATAAAAAAATACAAATAGCCAGGGGCACACTCCAACACTCAGACATAATTTACAAACTAAGCATGTGTTTAGTGAGTCTGCCAGATCAGAGGCAGTAGAGATGACCAGGGATGTTCTCTTGATAAGTGTGTGAATTAGGCCATTTTCCTGTCCTGCTAAGCATTCAAAATGTAACGAGTACTTTTGGGTGTCAGGGAAAATGTATGGAGTAAAAAGTACATCATTTTCTTTAGGAATGTAGTGAAGTAAAAGTTGTCAAAAATATAAATAGTAAAGTAAAGTACAGATACCCCAAAAAAACTACTTGAGTAGTACTTTCAAGTATTTTTACACCACTGGGAAGGGGGTGGTGAAAGAATGGGAACAAGGCCCGAGTGTGCCGAACACAGACTGGCCTCCCAGTCCATTTTACCAAAGGGGAACAACTCCAGTTGGATGTCTTGTTTTCGCCTTGTCACGTGATCAATTGGTGCAAAATGTGTATATTTGACACATGTACTGTAATCACAGAATATTATCCGGTTTACCTGCAGTAGAGAGACCAGAAGGTTCTTGACGTCTCCACTGGTGTCATCCTCAATGTCAGCCTCCAGGTCACGCTCGTTCACTGGAAGGGAAACAAATGTGTCACATTGTAGAGGTCAAAGGTCATTCCAGATGTATATGCATTGTGAAGCTTTTTTTTTTTTTTTTACAATACACAGTTTCAGTGGCGTTAGGAAAAAAAATTGAAGACAAAAGTCCACAAAACCCAATAGTGGGACGTCAAAATGCAATACTTTGAAAGGACAGCAATTTGAGAAGAATGTGAATTCAATATCACAACAGCATGGAATGTATCAATAATTCCCCTGACATATCAGACATTGGGTCAGCATATTGTTTTTAAGGGGGTAAACAGTCTCACCTTTCACTGACAGTTTGGGGATTTCCCAAATGCTCTAACATTACGCTAAAAGGAATTTGTGATGTCATGTCTAAATCTCCACCAGAAAACAAGAGAGGAAAATGTGACCGATTCCACTGTGATTCATCCTAGTGACTCACCCTTGACATAACAAATACAAGAACACTGGTTGTGTATGGGTTGACTGACCATAGTCTGGACCATAAAATGTGTGATTATGCTCTGAAGTCCTGGCTAAAAATACTTACCCTGGGCATACGCCTCGTGGCAACTCAGGATCTCCTGTTGGGGGAGAGAGTCAGGGAATAACACAAGAGACATTCTGCTTTAACATTTCTGTTTTCATTCACAAAATAATATACACAGTTCTTTGTCTAAAAGTCAGTGGGACACTGGATCTGTTGAACAGCATTGTTTGTCATTATCTTGTGTGTACATTCGTGCAGAGTGCAATTTGATCACGACAGTCCAAATCAATGCTGGTTGGACCAATAAACCCATACCCGATAGGTCCTTAATTCAAGAAGGCCCAAATCCCCGTCAGTCGCATGAAGAACAGACGGAGATATCGGGGACGTAGGTCGGGGTGCCTTGTAAGGATCCGACGGCGAATGGGTAATCTGCCTCTACCATCAGACCTATTAGCCAATATACAATCATTGGATAATAAAATGGATGAGCTCCGATCAAGAATATCCTACCAAAGGGACATTAAAAACTGTAATATCTTATGTTTCACTGAGTCATGGCTAAACGACGACATGGATAACATACAGCTGGGGGGGGTTCGGTGAATCGGCAAGATAGAACAGCTGCCTCCGGTAAGACAAGGGGGGGCGGTCTGTGTATATTTGTAAACAACAGCTGGTGCACGAAATCTAATATTAAGGACGTCTCTATGTTTTGCTCGCCTGAGGTAGAGTCTCTCATGCTAAGCTGTAGACCACACTATTTACCAAGAGGGTTCATCTAGATTTTTCGTAGCCGTCTATTTACCACCACAAACCGATGCTGGCACAAAGACCGCACTCAACGAGCTGTATAAGGCCATAAGCAAACAAGAAAATGCTCATCCAGGAGGTGGCGCTCCTAGTGGCCGGGGACTTCAATGCAGGGAAACGTAAATCTGTTTTACCTAATTTCTACCAGCATGTTAAACGTGCAACCCAAAAAAACTCTAGACCACCTTTACTCCACACACAGAGACGCGTACAAAGCTCGCCCTACATTTGGTAAATCTGACCATAATTCTATCCTCCTGATTCCTGCATACAAGCAAAAACTAAAGCAGGAAGTACAAGTGACTCGCTCAATACAGAAGTGGTCAGATCACGCAGATGCTAAGCTACAGGACTGTTTTGCTTGCACAGACTGGAACATGTTCCGGGATTCTTCAGATAGCATTGAGGAGTACACCACATCAGTCACTGGCTTCATCAATAAGTGTGTCGATGACGTCGTCCCCACAGTGACTGTACGTACATACCCAAACCAGAAGCCATGGATTACAGGCAACATCCGCACTGAGCTAAAGGGTAGAGCTGCCGCTTTCAAGGAGCGGGACTCTAACCTGGATGCTTATAAGAAATCCCGCTATGCCCTCTGACAAACCATCAAACAGGCAAAGAGTCAATACAGGACTAAGATTGAATCGTACTACACCGGCTCTGAGGCTCGTCGGATGTGGCAGGGCTTGAAAACTATTACAGACTACAAAAGGGAAGCACAGCCGCGAGCTGCCCAGTGACACGAGCCTACCAGACGAGCTAAATTACTTCTATGCTTGCGTCGAGGCAAGTAACACTGAAACATGCATGAGAGCATCAGCTGTTCCGGACGACTGTGTGATCACGCTCTCCGTAGCAGATGTGAGTAAGACTTTTATGCAGGTCAACATTCACAAGGCCGCAGGGCCAGTCGGATTACCAGGACAGGTACTCCGAGCATGCGCTGACCAACTGGCAAGTGTCTTCACTGACATTTTCAACCTGACCCTGACTGAATCTGTAATACCAACATGTTTCAAGCAGACCACCATAGTCCTTGTGCCCACTAACCTAACCTGCGTAAATGACTACCGACCCGTAGCACTCACTTCTGTAGCCATGAGGTGCTTTGAAAGGCTGGGTCATGGCTCACATCACCACCATTATCCCAGAAACCCTAGACCAACTACAATTTGCATACCACCCAAACAGATCCACAGATGATGCAATCTACTGCACTCCACACTGCCCTTTCCCACCTGGACAAAAGGAACAACTACGTGAGAATGCTATTCATTGACTACAGCTCAGCGTTCAACACCATAGTGCCCTCAAAGCTCATTACTAAGCTAAGGACCCTGGGACTAAACACCTCCCTCTGCAACTGGATCCTGGACTTCCTGATGGGCCGCCCCCAGGTGGTAACAGTAGGTAACAACACATCTGCCACACTGATCCTCAACACGGGGGCCCCTCAGGGGTGCGTGCTCAGTCCCCTCCTGTACTCCCTGTTTACATTTTTACATTTTTTGTCATTTAGCAGACGCTCTTATTCAGAGCGACTTACAGGAGCAATTAGGGTTAAGTGCCTTGCTCAAGGGCACATCGACAGATTTTTCACCTAGTCGGCTCGGGGATTAGAACCAGCGACCTTTCGGTTACTGGCACAACGCTCTTAACTACAAAGCTACCTGCCGCCCGTATACCTGCTCACCCATGACTGCATGGCAAAGCACGACTCCAACACCATCATTAAGTTTGCCGACGACACAACAGTGGTAGGCCTGATCACCGACAACGATGAGACAGCCTATAGGGAGGAGGTCAGAGACCTGGCCATGTGGTGCCAGGATAACAACCTCTCCCTCAACGTGATCAAGACAAAGGAGATGATTGTGGACTGCAGGAAAAGGAGGACAGAGCACGCCCCCATTCTCATCGACGGGGCTGTAGTGGAGCAGGTTGAGAGCTTCAAGTTCCTTGGTGTCCACATCACCAACAAACTATCATGGTCCAAACACACCAAGACAGTCGTGAAGAGGGCACGACAAAGCCTATTCCTCCTCAGGAGACTGAAAAGATTTGGCATGGGTCCTCAGATCCTCAAAAAGTTATATAGCTGCACCAGAGAGCATCCTGACTGGTTGCATCACCGCCTGGTATGGCAACTGCTCGGCCTCCGACCGCAAGGCACTACAGAGGGTAGTGCGTACGGCCCAGTACATCACTGGGGCCAAGCTTCCTGCCATCCAGGACCTCTATACCAGGCGGTGTCAGAGGAAGGCCCTAAAAACTGCCAAAGACTCCAGCCACCCTAGTCATAGACTGTTCTCTCTGCTACCGCACGGCAAGCGGTATCGGAGTGCCAAGTCTAGGGCCAAAAGGCTTCTTAACAGCTTCTACCCCCAAGCCATAAGACTCATGAACAGCTAATCAAATGGCTACCCAGACTGTTTGCATTGTCCAACCCCCCCCCCCCCCCTACATGTACACATTACATTAATTACCTCGACTAACCTGTGCCCCCGCACATTCACTCTGTACCAGTACCCTGTATATAGCCTCCCTACTGTTATTTTATTTTACTGCTGCTCTTTAATTATTTTTATTTTATTTTTACTTAACACTTATTTTTCTTAAAACTGCACTGTTGGTTAAGGGATTGTAAGTAAGCATTTCACTGTAAGGTCTACACCTGTTGTATTCGGCGCATGTGACAAATAACATTTGATTTGATTGGTTTAATGGTCCAGTAACAACATACCTGATTGGTGCTGGTGCACAGGATCTCCACCAGAACAGCCTCGTCGGTGCCCGCCCCTTTCATGGCCTTCCTCAGCTCCTTGGCAGAGTAGATGTGGGGTGGATCTAGCATTGCCACGACGGCCATCTCAAAGCTACCAGTCAGCTCCTTCTTCAACACCTCCTCCAACTCCTTAGTATGGACAATACATAGAACAGACAAGTCTAAAAAATATTTCCTTGTGCAAACCCTGTGGTATAGTGGTAACACACCTGCTGCTATCACATGTATGCCTCCCCACCAGAGATCAGGGTTCAATCCCTGCATCGTCCGGTCTCCCCTCTATTTCTGTACTGTCTAAATGGAATTCCACTCTCCTTTAAACAAACAAAAAAAGTGTTGATTTCCTCGATTCCTATATACATTTTCCTACTCCAATGCATTTCAAGGAGGCAAGCAAAGAGGACACAAGGAATTAAGAAAAATCTAGGAAAGGCGAAATTCTGCACAATGGCATCGACATCCATTTTTTAAAAACATTTACATGTTAGTATTTCCATCACTCATTCACCGTGCTAACTCATCATTTGGGACATCCATCTTGTGCTCCAAAAAGTACTTCTCCCCTACAACTCAAATGAAGCATGCTATAGTCGTAAAGCAAACAGTTGGACTCTGCATGTCATATAAAAGGTCTTAATGTGTTGATGTCACGAGTCTATGGATGAGAAACGACTCACATCGTCATACTTCTCAAAGTATGCGTGCTTGATTTCCAAGCGCTGTGCTGATGAACGATTGGCCAGGATCTCAATGATGGCCTCCTCATCCGTCCCTGTGGAGATGAATCAGAAAGACATTTAAATACAAATTAATAAGGTTGCAAGCCGATGATCCATGGACGCTCAAACTATCTATTTATTTAGTGCAAATAAATAAAAATCAGTCAATTGTCCTGTTATCGTTGTATAATCCGACAATCTTTACATTGCTGTATAATTGACTCATATTGGTGGATAGATCATGATTAGGTCACTTTATTTCTGATCAGATGGGTGATGTCATGTCATAGAGGCGTCCATCAGTGATGTGCAAGCTAACATGACCCAATGTAAGGGACTGAATGGAAGATAATGAGAGTTTCCTGAACCAATCCTCAGTACTGCTGCTTTTCATCCTGCCCCTCTAAATCAGGAACTGATTCAGACCTGGGCTGGGACATCTATCTGGCCAATCAGTGACATTGATTAATCAATTCATTAGGGAGACGAGAAAAACGTCGGTACTGTCGACCTCCAGGCTCGGATTTGAGAACCCTATAGCCTTTGACCTAGATTAATGCTTGAATAGGAATATACGAGTCTATACACTTACCCAAACCTTTGCAGGATTTGCGGATGGCCTTGACATCAGCCATGACATCGAAATCCTCATAGGGGGTAATGGTTGGCTATATGGGGAAACGTTCAGAACCAGGACACCAATGACACTAATATAACATGATATACAAAAATATGTGCTTTCCCATGATACATCTGTCTCAAATAATCATAGGTCTATGCCACATAATTAATCCTAAAATTATGCAGTCTTTTCTGTATAGATCATGTGTGGGGCGGCAGGTAGCTTAGTGGTTAAGAGCGTCAGTAACCGAAAGGTCGCTGGTTCTAATCCCAGAGTCTGTCGATGTGCCCTTGAGCAAGGCACTTAACCCTAATTGCTCCTGTAAGTCGCTCTGGATAAGAGCGTCTGCTAAATAATGTAATGTGAGAAAGAATTTTCCTTCATGGTTGAGTACAGTAGGCTAGATTCCCCTCTCTGTTCCTAGTCTAGTAAAGGGTGCAGTCTCTGTGAGCTGAGTCATGGGGCAGTTGCATATTGATACAAAGCTACAGGGCCTCAGCATCCCTTCCACGCCCACCCTCCACAAAGACAATGCAGCCTTATTGATCATTGAGAGTAGAACTTTCTGGAAATTCCAGAGAGAAGCAGCCTACTCAAGCTGCCACGCTCCTAACACTCATTTGTTATACAGATGGTAGGCCTATGAATAGGCCTGCTGCATAGCCTACATATATAAAACAGGCTATGATAAACAGTAGGCCATTTATGGATAAGTTATGTTCCACTCATTCACAAATCATATATGAAGGCTATCATTTACATAAATAGGCTACATTTACATACATTTTCTAAAACGAACATTTTAAAGCATTAAAATGAGTTGATAACCAATAACAATGTGATAGGAAGAATGAAGGTAAATGGCCTACATTCTAACATAATATAAATAACGACATTATCTTCGACATGTAGATTATTGATTCAGTCGAGTGGTTCATAGACCTACTTAAAAGATGCGTTGCAGCCTTGGTTTACTTCCCGACTACACTGCAGCATCCAATACGCTACTAGGCCTAGAGCGTTAACAAAAAGCTGATAACGCATTTATAAGAAAACTGTCAAAAACTTGACTCACTTGGACGTTGCCCATGTTGCAACTCTGTTTTCAACCCAGCGAAGACGATGTACAGTGTCGGTCCGGTCAGTGTCCTCCTCGATATTCACCCTCGAAGAAGTTGATTCTGCACACGCAGGACCAGCCCTGACCGCTACTGCGTAGCTGACGTCACCAGTGTTTATCAATTTAGTAGGCTAATAACAACACTCCTGAAAGCGTTTAGTGATCATCCTATCTAGTAGCTGCTTAACTTCAACAATTTCGGTTTGTGTACTATGATTTAATAAATTAAAAGCATTAATTTACTGTATTACCACTGTAAATAACATAAGAAGAATAGGATACTACTTTTATATGGAATTGATAGCAACTAAACCATAAACGGTGTTAAGAATGAACAAAAATTCGGGAGAGAGGACCAGACTTGAACGCAACACTTAACTACAGTAGTTGCCTTGAATGCAGTTCCCTACTAACTCAACAAGCACCAGCTGCAACTCATTGCTAATCAGCCTCCACACCTGTCCTCACTCTCCTTAATCACAACTGCCACCCTACTTAAACCTGGCCAAACTAACATTCCTCCTCTGGCCGACTAGTCACTGACCCGGGTGGCTGAAGGTGGAGGACAGACGATGTCTAACAGACAGCTGTGGGATAAGGAGACTTGGCTGGGTGAGGAGGAATGGAAGGAAAAAGAGAGGCAGAGGAGGTCTAAGAGAGAGAGGGCGGAAGATTGTGAGCTTGAGTTGGGGTAAGAAATGGCGGGTAGAAGGTTTGGTAAAGAAGAATGGTAGGAAATGTAAGCAAAGTGAGCTGAAGACAGGAGGAGAGTGGCGCAGCGGTTTAAGGCACTGCATCTCAGTGCTTGGGGCGTCACTACAGACACCCTGGTTTGATTCCAGTCTGTATCACAACCGGCCGTGATTGTGAGTCCCATAGGGCGGCGCACAATTGGCCCAGCGTCATCCGGTGTAGGCCGTCATTGTAAATAAGAATTTGTTCTTAACTGACTTGCCTAGTTAAATAAAGGTTGTTGTTTTTTAAGGGGGGGGTGACGTATCGGAGGTGGTAGGTGTGGTGAAGTACTCTGAGTCAGCGGGTCAGGATAAAGATGAGTCTGTGACAGTAGGAGTGAAGTTTGTGGAAAAAGTGGATCCTTGCCTTTTGGCTGATCCATTTGTGGTTTCAAGATGGGTGAAAAAAAGCGTTGGGTATAGTGGAATCGGTGAGGGTAACCAGAAGTGGTCTAGTGATAATCGTTTGTGTTTCTGTTGGGCAGAGGGAGAAGGCGTTCAGAGTTAAACAAATGGGGTAAAGAATTGTGAATTGTTTCGCTCTCAAGAAAAGGGCGCTATTGAAAGGAGTGAGAACTGGGGTAGCAGTTAATGTAAAAGTGGACCAACTGAAGGGGAAGATTCCCGGTGTTTGTGATGCTCATCGTTTGGTGCGACGCAAACAGGGTGGGGAAACAGAAGTCATTGTCTGTTCTTTTACATTTTGAAGTTGAGTCTTTGCCTGACAAAGTGAAGTTAGGATATATAAATTATCCTGTACGAGCTTATGTGCCGAACACATTATGATGTTACAGGTGTCAAACTTATGGGCACGTGGCAGCAGTATGTAGGAGAGAGATTCCAAGGTGTGAGAAGTGTGCAGAAGGGCATGAAACTAAGGAGTGTAATGTAGTGGTATGTGCTAATTGTAGGGGTGGCCATGGGGCTGGGGATCAGACATGTCCAGTGCGAGAGAAGCAGGTTGAGGTTTCCAGGGTAAGAGTAGAGAAGAAGTTGTCATATGCTGAGCTGAGGCAGTGAAGAAAGTAGGGGGGGAGTGGTGAGAGTAGTAGATTTGTACCAGTACAGAGGGATAGGCCAACAAGTGATATATGTTTCAGTAAGATTGGATTTTTAGCGTTTATAGCAATGGTTATTAATTGTACTGTAGGGATGGAACGTGTTGAAGAAAATTGAGGTTGTGGTGGCAGCTGCAGAGAGATATAAGTTTTGGGACACTGTAAAGTCCATGGAGAATAAGAGCACTTCCTCCCAGTTGCCCACTGCACTGAGGCTAGGAAACACTATCACCACCGATAAATCTACAATAATCGAGAATTTCAACAAGCATTTTGCTACGGCTGGCCATGCTTTCCATCTGGCTACCACTACCCCGGCCACCAACTCTGCACCCTCCGCTGAAACTTGCCCATGCCCCCCCCGCTTCTCCTTCACACAAATTCAGACAGCTGACGTTTTGAAAGAGCTGCAAAATCTGGACCCCTACAAATCAGCTGGGCTAGACAATCTGGACCCTTTCTTTCTAAAACTAGCCGCCTAAATTGTCGCAACCCCTATTACTAGTCTGTTCAACCTCTCTTTCATAACGTCTGAGATCCCCAGAGATTGGAAAGCTGCCGCGGTCATCCCCCTCTTCAAAGGGGGTGACACTCTAGATCCAAACTGCTACAGACCTATATCCATCCTGCCCTGCCTTTCGAAAGTATTTGAAAGCCAAGTTAACAAACAGATCACCGACCATTTCGAATACCACCGTACCTTCTCCGCTATGCAATCCGGTTTCCGAGCTGGTCATGGGTGCACTTCATCTACGCTCAAGGTCCTAAACGATATTATAACCGCGATTGATAATAGACAGTACTGTGCAGCCGTCTTCATCGACCTGGCCAAGGCTTTCGACTCTGTCAACCACCGCATTCTTATTGGCAGACTAAATAGCCTTGATTTCTCAAATGACTGCCTCGCCTGGTTCACCAACTACTTCTCAGATAGAGTTCAGTGTGTCAAATCGGAGGGCCTGTTGTCTGGACCTATGGCAGTCTCTATGGGGGTGCCACAGGGTTCAATTCTTGGGCCGACACTTTTCTCCGTGTATATCAATGATGTCGCTCTTGCTGCTGGTGACTCTCAGATCCACCTCTATGCAGACGACACCATTTTGTATACATCTGGCCCTTCATTGGACACTGTGTTAACAAACCTCCAAACGAGCTTCAATGCCATACAACACTCCTTCAGTAGCCTCCAACTGCTCTTAAACACTAGTAAAACTAAATGCATGCTTTTCAATCGAACGCTGCTGGCACCCGCCCACCCGACTAGAATCACCACTCTTGACGGGTCTGACCTAGAGTATGTGGACAACTACAAATACCTAGGTGTCTGGTTAGACTGTAAACTCTCCTTCCAGACTCACATAAAGAATCTCCAATCCAAAGTTAAATCTAGAATCGGCTTCCTATTTCGCAACAAAGCCTCCTTCACTCATGCTGCCAAACATGCCCTCGTAAAACTGACTATCCTACCGATCCTTGACTTCGGCGATGTCATTTACAAAATAGCCTCCAACACTCTACTCAGCAAATTGGATGTAGTCTATCACAGTGCCATCCGTTTTGTCTCCAAAGCCCCATACGCTACCCACCACTGTGACCTGTACGCTCTTGTTGGCTGGTCCTCACTACATGTTCGTCGTCAAACCCACTGGCTCCAGGCCATCTATAAATCACTGCTAGGCAAATCCCCGCCTTATCTTAGCTCATTGGTCACCATAGCAGCACCCACCCGTAGTCTGCGCTCCAGCAGGTATATCTCACTGGTCATCCCCAAAGCCAACACCTCCTTTGGCCGCCATTCCTTCCAGTTCTCTGCTGCCAATGACTGGAACGAATTGCAAAAATCTCTGAAGCTGGAGACTCTTATCTCCCTCAATAACTTTAAGCATCAGTTGTCAGAGCACCTTACCGATCACTGCACCTGTACACAGCCCATCTGAAATTAGCCCACCCAACTACCTCATCCCTATATTGTTATTTATTTTGCTCTTTTGCACCCCAGTATCTCTATTTGCACATAATCTCTTGCACATCTAGCATTCCAGTGTTAATACTATTGTAATTATTTTGCACTATAGCCTATTTATTGCCTTACCTCCATAACTTGCTACATTTGCACACACTGTATATATATTTTCTGTTGTATTTTTGACTTTGTTTTTTACCCCATATGTAACTCTGTGTTGTTTTTATCGCACTGCTTTGCTTTATCTTGGCCAGGTCGCAGTTGTAAATGAGAACTTGTTCTCAACTGGCTTACCTGGTTAAATAAAGGTGAAATAAAAAAAATATATATATATATTTGGGTGTGTGAGACTTGACATCAGAAGAGTTACCGGGAGTGTTAAGTGGTGATGTCCCATCATTTCAGGTTGAGGGCATGAGGTAGAAGTGAGTATATTTAAATAGTGGAGAAGGGTGGTCTTAATTATTATTAATAATTTTGTATTTGTGAGTGTAGTGTTAGATGGTAGGGTTTTTCTTTATTTTCTTTTATTTTTCAGGCAAATTATAAGGGAGTTGTACTCCAGTCTAGTAGGTGGCGGTATTGCAACAAATTGGATGCCAACCGCCATTAAACCTCAACGAAGAAGAACATTCCTCCTCTGTGTTCTGCAGTGTTTGTTGCGTTGCATGACACGACATTGTGTGTTACTAGCCTTATCAAGTTTTGCACGACACCTTCTGTCTAGTATCTCTTCGGTTCCTCCAAGGATCTCCTGGGGGTTGCCATCCCCACAGCAGCCTAACTACCACGGCCTGACGATGTCTACCTGGGACGCTAAACTGAATTCTAGAGTCCACCCCTCCCGGATCCTTCATTTGCAGCCTTCGGCTTCATCCGGTCCATTCTCATTCCCTTCCTGAATACTTCTCACAATTATTACATTTCGTCAATAAATATTCTAAACTAATTTCAATGTCTGGTCCTTAAACGCGTCAAATAAAAAAATAATCACAGCCGAATTGGATTTAAATTACATTTCTTAATGTGCTCTCAGGTTACTCCAGACTACAATCTAAATAATCCAAGTTTCAGACTACAGCTTCATTTGGAATACAACATTTTACACCGGCGTTGACTACACAAATACACTGGAAAAAATATAAATGCAACATGTAAAGTGTTGATCCCATGTTTCATGAGCTGAAATAAACAATCCCAGAAATGTTCCATATGCACAAAAAAGCTTATTTCTCAGTTGTTCAGTATACATTGAAATCATGCAAAAAATATAACAAAAGAACTGACATCTGTCAAGGTGAGACAAAACCTTATCAGTATACAATACATTTATGTTCTGGAGACAAAATT